CAGCCTAGCAACATCTTTTAGCTTATTTGAGTTTATGAATTTATAGGCATAATTCATTTACAGAACATAGCGACCAATTTATTTATTTAGTTGTTATTATGGAAATTGTCTAACTCCTTTCACCCAAAGCTAAAGCCTAGTTGTACATGCCCTACCCATTCCATTCTTCAATATGAATTTTCCTATTGTTATCCTTACCATTGTTCAAAATATTTTGATATTTTAAAATTGTCATTGGTGAGCACTCTCTTTTTTTTATTAGGAGTTCTATTTTTCCTTCCTTTTTAACGGTGTGTACCAAAATGGTCCCTAGTTTACTTATTTAATTTTTTTTTTTATAATCATTACAGAAAAAAATACTTTTTCATAAGAAATAAGGAAATGTTCTAATGTGTATAATAGTATTTTGATTAATAGTTTAATTGTTATTAACAGCTCTATACTTTCTCCCTCTCAAGTGACACATACCAATTATACACATTATTAAATGACTTTTATTTTTGAGATGATAAAAGTTGAATCTTTAACTTCACTCTTCTCTATAAGAAGCTATGCTTGAATATTTATCATTGTATCATGCAATAGCATTGGATATATATATATATATATATTATATTATATTACATGATTGAATATCAAATAAACAAAATTATATGTGGACAATTGGACAAACATAAAAAGCCAAATCCAAAAAACTGTGGAAGACAAGAAATGAAGGCAAAAATGAATGGAAAAGTGACGAGTGCTTGCGAAAAAGTAGCCGACCATTAGGACTCATTTGGATTTAGATAATTATACACAAATTTTTAAGTTTAAATTGTGCTTTACCTTAAAATATGCTCTTTTTGAAGGTAGTACACAGGGAATAGTGGAACACTTGTAGGATGAAAGTTAATTAAATTATGTGGAAAGGGGAAATCTAATCCATCATTTATTTGGATTAAGGTTTTATTTATAACCAACTTTTGATTTTCTGTTGAAAACAAAAAAAGGAAAAAAGAAAAGGTATTCTGGTTATATATATATATATATATAACGCTTTTGCGTACCTACTTCATCTTGGATATAGATTAGCATTGTATCCTTCTTATATAGACAAAATTGCCTTTATGCTTCTTTTTGTTTACTCATTTTAAGTGAGGTAGCACTGTAACCTTAAATCTTCTTGTTCCATTCCCTTCTGCCAATCTTGTGGCCTGCTGCAATTTCTCTTGCCATATTTACTGCCTGTCACTTTTAGTGCTACAATCAACCGATGACATCCTCATGCTTGCCAATTTTGCAGCAACCATCACACCACGAACTATACCATTCACCACTAAGTGGCATTTTCATACTCATAAATTTCTACCATTATCAACAAACCAACCACATCCACTTACTGTAAAATTTAAGACACTCTGGACTACTTACTGTAAAACCTTAGAATAGTCCTTATCAGCAGCTATATGTTGCTGTAGTCAGTTATTCAGGGAAGTGGCTGTGGAGAGAGAGACGGGGGCTGGCCATTGTACTCTAAATAAATTTTCCACTGAACTGCTGCAGTGTACTTCACTAAGGGTTTTGTTGCATTCTCTTATCTTTTTAATCTATATTTACTAATTGTCCTTGATATTAATAAGTTGGTGTTAAATCTTTTGCTCACTGAAAGCTGGGTATGGTACCAAGGGCTTTGTGGCCTAGTGGTATCTCCTCTACCTCCCAAAGTGGATGGTGAGGGTTTGAGTCCCCAAAGGGACAAAGTGGGGGTGTGTGTGTTTCTTGTCAATAAAAAAAAAAAGAAAAAAAGAAGCCTGGGTATGTTGCTCTCCTACTTTAAATGTGAAGTTGGATAACTTTACCGATATATATAGTAGAAGGGGTTGCAATCTTGTAGTGAGTGCAAATGGAAGAGAAAAATGTGAATACATGGGGAGAGATTTGAGAATTGTTGTCAAATTTTTGGAGACGTGTCATAGTTTCGAAGATTTTTCATTCCTTTTATCGAAATATCTATGATATTCATTAAAGGATAGTTTAGTCGCTCAATTTGAGAGACAAGTTGGGGACGGAGCAATTTTCCTGCTTAATATAATACTATAGATTTATAATGATTATATTTCGATGATAAAAGAATATGTGTTAAGGCCTGTTTTAGATCCATTAAGATTAGGTCATTATCATTTATGACATTTATAAAAAGATTAATCTTAAGAAGCATAAAGTCTTTTGTTACTATAAATGACACATCCTTCTACTATTGATTCTTTTGTTTTATAAAACAAATTTTCAATCCTATCCGTTGCACGGGTTTACCTCTAGTACACTTGGAAAAGTTGCACGGGTTTACCTCTAGTACACTTGGAAAATAAACCTATTAAAATTTCGCGCATGAGTTAGAAATGAGTTGATCCTGTAAAGTATTAGGAACTAGTTTGTTCATCTTTGAAAGATTTGGACTTAAATGGGCCACAAGAGAATTCTTTGGGACAAATTAATAATTGTGAGATACGATTGGTTATGTAATTGTGGTTACTTATATGCTTTTTGTGCAACATATTTAGCTGGAGACATAAGAGGATCGTAATCATTGTTTTGATAAAGGTATTTGATGGAATTACGAATGGTGTTGGTGTTATATATATGTGTGTATATTTTGTAGGAGAAGGCATCAAATGTATAGCGGGCAGTTGCCTGTTTCTTAATTCTAATTCGTTTTAGATCCAACTGATTCATCACATATTTTGGTTATGATCACTTATCCAAAAAAAAGAAGAAGAAAATGTTTGGGTTATGAATTTATGATCCCTTGGACTAAAGGAGAAAGCGCTAGTGTTGAAGATCATCTATGAGAGACGACTAGTGTCATAAAAGAAAAAAAGTAGGCAGGGTAGGTATTTAATTAAGAGTATTTATATATTTATCCCTATATTTTGTAGGACAAGGCATCAAATATAGCGGGCTGTTGCCTATTTATTAATTCTAATTCATTTTAGATCCAACTGATCTCAAATGTTTGGGTTATGAAGAAGAAGAAGAAAGAAATTGTTTGGGTTATGATCTGTCGGACTAAAGGAGAAAGCGCAAATGTTGAAGATCATCTATGGGAGACAACTAGTTTCATAAAAGAAAAAATAGGCATGGTAGGTATTTCATTAAGATACAGCACATCAATTTTATATAAATATGCATAATTAATGATTGGATACGCGCAGCACCTGAATAGGGTACTTCTAGAAAGGCAATTTAGTAATGTTAGTTCTGTTTACGCAAGGTGTTGGAGGGAGTGGAGTGGAAATAGACTTTGAATTTTGGTGTACTTTTCGATAAGTTGGTGCTTGTAAAAGAGCAAAGCTTAAACAACTGAAGCATTTGAATTTAACTTCTGCTAATTTGTTTTCTTCTATGCCTCATTATAAAAATTGCAACAATCACATGCTTCTGGACAAATCACACTATAAAAAATTACTTATAAATTAAGATAGGCACATTGGTTTTGAGAAATAATGTAGATGCTGTGCCTAAAAGTGGGCATCACAGAACAATCTTCTCTTTTAATGATCAAAAAGGCGAAAAACAAACACACTGCACCAGCTTCTCTATATGGAAAAAGAAGTGGCTAACCAATCAAAATAGTAATGGCGACAAAGTTATTGTGCATATCATATGCCATAAGTAAAACACAAGTTAACACATTCAATAAATGACTCGTTATGTGGCAGAATTATCAGCATATACCACCATTTGAGAAGTCTCTTCACAACACATAGTGGATGCAGAAACATTATCAACATACACCACCATTTGAGATGTCTCTTCACAACACATAGTGGATGCAGAAACATTATCAATATACACCACCATTTGAGATGTCTCTTCACAACACATAGTGGATGCAGAAACATTATCAACTTACACCACCATTTTTTATTTTATTTTATTTTATTTTTGATAAGTGAACATACACCACCATTTGAGATGTCTCTTCACAGCACATAGTGGATGCAGAAACATTATGACACCTGTTATCGTCCTTTTCAAATATGCACTACCATTTCATTTATGTGCATCCATTAGCAATTCTGAAACTTCAATTTTAGCTCCTTTTCAATTGTTCAAGTAGTCTCTTTTTCCTCAATATAAAGGTTTGATTTGATATTTATTGACACCTGCCTTAATCAGAAACTTACTTTTTGTTTGCCTCACCTGAAAAGGGAAAATTAATCCCCTAAATCAAGGGATGAACCCCGCCAACTCTAAAGCATGTCATCGAACTTTTAATTTGTATAATGCATGTGAGGTAGCTTTAGGAATCATGATTATTTCACATTCTGAACAGATGACAGGCATTTCTAACACCACTGAGACACCCAAACAACTATGCACCAAGTGCTGCATGCAGTATTTGGCCTGGCCTGATAAATATTGATGATCGACTTTGCTGGATTTTCCCTAGTCCAAAATGACAAGTTGATTGCATTTCTTTCAACTTGAAATGCTAATGAACACGCATATTTGAGGAGATTTCCTTAAAGCTGTAACGATTTGGTGGAGGTGTCTCATTCTAGAGAGGTAGAAGCGATGTCTCTGGGGCCTAGAATGCATTGTATTGGGCACATATGTGTGCATTTGATACATTGCCATGTAGGAGCAACAACCTCCTGAATCACAGTGAGAAGGAGACCAAGTGTTGGATAAATTCTAGGCAAATAAAAAGTAAGGTGCAATAAGGTATATGACAAATATGCAAACAAAGCTGCAAACAAAAGACGCGATAAAGGAAAACAATGATAGCAAATGTAGTAATGTATTTATTACTATCTGTATGATTGAAATCTAATTATAATTTGTGATAAAGTTACCTTATTGCTAGAACTCTTGAGATGGTCTTTAGGGAGTGAATCCATTCTTCAGAAGACAATGTAGGAATGTATGTTTAATGCTATCTTTGCCACCCTGTTTCCAGAGGGCTTCCTTTTGGCTACATCCAGTTATTGTTATATGAAATATTTCTATTGCAGGTTATCTTTCCAACTCTTGATATACGTGTGAAGAATGTGGCACAAACGTACTCATTAGAGCACATGGGTGAAAGTGATCTTTTTGATCATCTATTTGAGCTGCTAAATTCTAACATGCATAATGATGAAAGCTTCCTGAGAGAGTTAGCATCTTGTACTGGAGCCCTTCAAACATCAGTTAGTCAGCACATGTCGAAGGAAGAGGAGCAGGTATCAAATCATTTTATTTGGATGTTCTTTGCATTCTTGTTTTGTGATCTTTGGAATATCTCCCAAGCATTTTTTTCTCACTACTATGTACCTGAAACAACGAACAACTAGATTCAAGAAAAATCAAGAACATAAAGTCATGTTATATTCTTTGGAAGATATGGGGATTATACATTAAAACAGATACAAGAATCATTTGTGCCTGAGTTATGATTGCTATATTAGAACAAATTGATATTTTATTTCATAGTTTCTCTAGATTATGACGGCTGTACTCCCTTCCAGCTTCTTTATCATCAGCTTGTCTTAGACCCAGGTTGTGTGTTGTCAGCTTAATTATTTATCACTGATAACTTGTCCAACATTGAACTTGCTTTTACTTCTGCTTCAGAACTTGTTGAAATTGCAATTCTCATTAAAAGAAAATTTTCTGTTATGATGAGTTTTTAAAACTTTGTAATTGTTGATACAGTTTTATAGAATACTTATTTTTAAGTTATTCTTGAATGTTGTCAAGTCTCATTCTCTTCATTTTTGTGGAATGATTTACAAGTCTTCAAATTTCTTATTGTTAAATCTTAATATAGCAACAACAAAGCAATTTTGTTTCTATGTGTAATGATGAAATATGAAAAATAGTTGCATGATATTCTTGCAACCACAACCAAATTTCTAATTCTCCTCCACTTTTGTGTTCTGAGGTCTCCAAATTTCTTGTTCTTCTAATCTTAATCGTGGTTTGGAGGCGTGGACGAGAAAGCAATGTAACGGGGGTAACAGTACAGAATTGGTTGCCGCAGTTGTGAATTTTTGTTGATCTTGCAGATGGCCCCAAGGAGTAGGAGAACTGTCTGTGTGTACAAGGGAGGGAGGAGCGTCACTTGTTCTCTTTTCTCTCTATCTTGCAGTGGTTCTCTGTATTATAGCTTGGATCAGTGCGTCTTTTGAGGAAATTCATTGAGAATTGAAACTTACAACATTTCTTAGTTTTTTTTTTTTTTTTTTGGTGTTTCCAACCTTTTAGTAATTTTTCTATATGTGAACCTTATTTGAGTTGTCTTCTTGGTGGGTTATAAATAGAGTAAAACTTGCATCTGATTGTCTTTCAGCATGAAAGATCAGAAAAATCCGAACATTAGTGGGAAAACATGTTCATCTCTCACAAGGGTTCCTTACTAGCATGTACACTTTTGTTGGTAGTACGTACTTGAATGGTAATGGACAATAACACGCATGAGGTTGCAGTTATGCATGCATGAAGCCATGTGAATCATTATATTGTTTGAAGACTTTCAGTAGAACATAATTTCTACATTGAAACTGTGGTCATAATATATTTATCATACACATGTAAGTTTGATTACCTGGACACATGTTGAACATGTCCCAGGTGTGTTTAGTGTATCATGATGAATCTATCTGCCATATTTACATTCTAAGAAGCACAAAAACGGATACGGGATACAGATACGACACGACATGGACACGGATACGACACGACGCGGACATGGACACAACGACACTGCAAATCCTAAAAAAATAGGACGGATATGGTGGGGACATGATGAATAATAAATATTTTATATATTTATATATATATGATGTTGTACTTTAAGAAAGATGGTTAAGAAAGAGGAAAAAAAAAAAAAAAAAACAAAGAAACAAAGAGGATTATGTGGTTAGAAAAAGAATTAGGGCTTAATTAAAATAAAGATAAGAATGCATAGAAGAGAAATTTCATGGAAACAAGCGGAAAAAGGGAAAAAGGACAGAAAAAAGAATTTTGTTGCGAAAGGAAAAAAAAGAAGTATCTAATTTCTGTGAAGAAGAAGAAGAAGAAAGAAAAGGGGGGGGGGGGGGGGGGGAGCATCGAATGAATGACAACGAAACTTGGTTTGTGGGAGAATAAGAGGGCCGAAGTTGTTCATGCAAGAGTTTGAACTAAAATATAAGTTTAAATATCTGATTATATTAATTTAAAATTGTTTTATAAAACAACTTTTAATTAATTTTGTGATGACCACCATATTATTGAAAGTTATTAGACAACTCCTCATATTTACACTTTGTTGAGATTAGGGCTAGAATAGAAGAGGCGGCGGCGGAGCCATTGTTGGGAATTCAGTGTCCACTATGTGTATATTTACAAGTGTACAAATAACGAAAGGACTAAATACCCCTTTGGGGTAGGTAAATTACAAGAGTGACCTAATTCAATTATTCTAACACTCCCTCCTCAAGCTAGAGAATATACATCATATAATCCTAGCTTCGAACAAATATCCTTCAACCTATTATGACTGAAAGCCTTGGTGAATATATTTGCGAATTGATCTTCAGACTTCACAAATGGAGTAGAGATGTTCCCACTCAATATTTTGTCTTGAATAAAGTTACAGTCAACTTCAATATGCTTTGTCCTCTCATGAAACATTAGATTAGAGGCAATATGGATAACTACTCTATTATAACAGAACAACGGAAGAGGAATCTGAACTTCTAGACCAAGTTCTTTAAGAAAATGTTGTAGCCATGTCAAGTCACTAGATGTATGAGCCATTACCCGTTACTCAGCTTCAGCGCTAGATTGTGCAACCACTATTTGCTTCTTACTCTTCCACGTAGCCAAATTACCTCCGAAGAAGTGCAGAATCCTGTAGTGGATTTTCTATCGGAAGGAGAGCCAGTCCAATCAGCAACTGTAAAACCTTCCACCCTAAGGTGACCATTGGATTTATACAACAACCCGAGGCCTGGGCTCGCTTGAGATATCAGATAATTCGAACAACAACATTCCAATGTGGCATCCTAGGAGCTCTCATGAAATTAGGGATGGCAAAATTTGACACGACCTGCTAACACGACTCGAACACAACACGAGTTAAGTGGGTTTGGGTTGACCTTAAACGGGTTTGGGTCGTAAATGGGTTGACACGATTAACCTGTTTAGTTAATCGTGTCGTGTTTGGGTTAAGGGGTTCAACTCGTGTAACTCGTTTAACTATACGTGTCATAAACAAATTTATATTCAAGTTCCAAAACAACTATCTAAACTCGTGTCTTATAATTTATTCTTTTGTAAATTAGAGATTCTTTAGTAATATGGTTGGATGGAAACTTATATTTTTCTAGTATTTATTGTTTGATCGAGTATTATTAATAATTTAAATAATATAATGATTTGTTTTAGTAAATAGGTTATTAAACGGGTTACACGTGTAACTTGTTTAATAAACAGGTCGGGCTAGTGTTGAGGGTTCCTGACACGATTATTAAACGAATCGTGTTCGGATTGAGCTGTTTAGTATAATAGTCTTAGAATGACATGACACGATTATGACCCGCGAACACGAATTGCCACCCCTACATGAAATGGCTCACTACAGTAACCGCATATGAGATATCAAGCCGAATAATATTGAGATAAATTAGTTTCCCAACTAGTCGTCCGTATTTGCCGGGGTCATCAAACAAATCACCTTCATTAGCCAAGAGTTTTGTGTTCGGATCCATAGGAACATCAATTGCACGACCACCTAACAGACCTTTTTCTTCAAATAAGTCCAACACATATTTTTTCTGGGACAAATTGATACCCTTCTTCGATCTAGCAACTTCAATTCTCAATAAATATCTGAGTTTACCCAAGTCTTTAGTATGAAACCGATGTTACAGATACTCCTTCAACTTAGCAATGCCCGTAGAGACATCACCTGTAATAACAATGTCATCCACATACACTACAAGGAAAATGAAATGAGCTCGAGTAACACTGAATGATCTGTCTGGCATTTGCGAAGACCAAATTCTAAGGTTGCCTCAGAAAATTAAGCTCTCGATGATTGTTTCATACCATAAAGGGCCTTCTTCAAGCGACAAACATTGTGTCGATACTCCACTTGAGCAACAAACCCATGTGGTTACTCCATGATGACCTCTTCAACTAAGTCCCCATGTAAGAAAGCATTCTTGATATCCAACTGAAATAAGGGCCAATGGGACACAAATAGATGAAATCTTGGCAACAGGAGAATATGTCTCATCATAATCAATACCATAAGTCTGAGTATATCCTTTAGCAACAAGATGTGCCTTTAAATGCTTAATAGAGCAATTAGGAAGGTATTTGATAGTGTAAACCCACTTACAACAAACAGGTTTAGTTCCAGGAGGCAAAGGAACAAGATCCCATGTCCCATTATGATGTAGGGCATCTATTTCATCTTCCATTGCTTTTCTCCAGCCTAGATCAGGAAGGGCATCCTGCAGAGTCTTAGGAACAAGGGTAGCAGACAATTGGGATGAAAAACATGAGAAAGAAGGTGATAGAGAATTATATAATACATAATTAGTAATGAGATGACGAGTAACACAAGACCGAGTACCTTTATGTAAAGCAATAGGTAAAGAGTCAGACATAGCAGACGGTGCTGGATCCAAAGACTCCGCAGAAGACGGAGGAAGCATAATAGGCAGAAAAAATATCGATTAGGGAGGATCAGGATTAAGAGACAAAGAGGGAAGAGGTGGAAAAGATGACTCAGGAGTAATATCGATAGGAGGACTATAACCAGAAAAAATATGGGACCGACTTGGAAAAGGAGACATCAACACTGTGAAATATCGCCGTAAGATAGGACTGTAACAATGATAACCCTTCTGAGTGCGACAATACCCAAGAAACACACATTTAGTGGCACGAGAGTCAAGTTTTCAGGACCAGGTCCAAGGTTATGGAATAACAAACACACCCAAAAACGCCAGGAGTAAGAGTGAACAGGGTTGAATCAAGAAATAGGATGGAATGGGGAGATTTCCCTTGCAACATAGATGATGGCATACGATTAATAAGATTACAAGCAGTAAGAACAACATCACTCCAAAACTGTTTGGGAACATGCATATGAAATAAGTACATGATGTTTGATGAATAATGCCTTTAGCACGAAAATAAGTAACAAAAGGATCAGAGGAATATTTTTTGGCATTGTCAGAACGTAAGACTTTAATGGGACATCCAAATTGAGTTTTTATTTCTTAACTAAAAAATTGAAATATGGAGAATAACTCAGAGCGATTTTTCATTAAAAGTAACCAAGTCATACGAGAATGATCATCCACAAATTTCATGAAATAATGAAATCCATTCATAGAAATATGCTTTATTGATCCCTATACATTTGAATGAATTAACTGAAAAGGACTAGACACACGATTATTAACTCGAGATTTGAAAGATACACGACAATGCTTACTAAGCTGACAAGCTTCACAATACAGACAAAACACGACTAAGACTGGGGACTTGACGCTGCAAAACAGATAGTAACGGGTGGCCAAGGCGAAAGTGCCACTGAAATGGAGACAAAGAGGACTGAAGAGCTCTGGGATGATGTTCAACATCGAAGTAATAAAAGCCACCTACTTTATGCCCGTACCAAGCTTCTTCTTTGTCTTGAGATCCTTAAAAACACATTATGTGGGATAAAATGTAACAGAGCTATGAAGACTTTTAGTGATTTTACTAATAGACATCAAACTAAAGGGAAATTGAGGAACATTTAAGACCGAAGAAATAGACAGAAGTTCTAAGTTGAGTTGTTCCTAAACCCGAAACCTTACTTGATGAGCCATTAGCAAGGGTAACACTTTGAGATGGAGCGACACAATGAAAATTAGATAAAAGATGAGAACTACCAGTCATATGATCAGATGCTCCAAAGTCAATAATCCAGGGAATGTGAAGGGAAGACAAGAGGCATGCATACGTACTACTTGATTGGGCAAAGGAAGCCATGGAAGATGAGGTGGATATCCGTTGCTGAGACATAAGTTGAGCATACTCATCTCGTGAGATAGTGATCATTTCGGACTCAACAACCTGATGAGAACTAGAAGGTGGAGCAGGGGAACTAGAACCATCCTCTTTGGAGAACACTTGATGTGCATAGGCAGAAAATTTTGGTTTCCCATAAAGGTCCCAACAATAATTGACTGTGTGATTAGTTAGACCGCATGGAGTACATTTTTTCGATTCTCTACCTCTGCCACAGCCCCCTCTTGAGTCATGGCCACCACGTGTAGAACGATTATCACGGCCTCCACGAGAATTTTTAAGTACACCATGGGAGACAACCTACACTGAATGCTCTTATCAGCATGTACCACCACTTGAAGCAACCCCAGAAGTGCCACTAGATAGAGTAGCTCGCTGGAGTATGGAAAATATATCAGGGAGAGAGGGAAGTGTAGGCCTGCCCAAAATTTGTGCCCGAACTGGTTCATTCTCCGGCGACAACCCTGTGAGAACTTGAACAACATTAAAATCCTCATGTTGTTGTTGCATACACTGCACATCAGAAGTGATGGGCTGATACAAGTTTATTTCTTCACAAATTCCCATCGCCTTTGAGAAATATTCTTCAAAACTTTGAGTACTCTGCTCAAGGCTAAAGTATTGTTTGCACACCTCGTAGATGCGTGTAATATTTCCAGTACCCGAATATAATTGTTTGAGACGGTTCCATATATCCTTGGCAGTGTCCAGATACAGTAAGTTGGAGCTAATACTGGGTTCAATACAATTCAACATTAAATAAATAATTGGAGCATTCCTCTATTTCCATGAACTGAATTCAGCATCATTGTCTTTAGGTTTATCCTTAACCAAATGAGTGCCAAGGCCTTTAGCTTTTAGAAAAATTTCTACTGACTTGGACCACAAGATGTAATTCTTGTTGGTCTCGTTTCGCATGCGCTTTGTTTTAGGCGTTTTGGTTTTGGCTAAAACAGAAATAGTGTTTTTTGCTGTAGGAGTGTTCTGGAAAAAAATCGGAAGCACATTTGGGAACGATGTTTTGCTGTGGAAATGTCGGGCCCGTGTTGCACTACTATTATGGTTTTGGGCCATGAACAATTGTCAAAACAAGAAAAAGCAACTTTTTGGTGTTTTAGTTTTGGGCTACTATTCACGAAGTGTTTTAGCATTGTGTAAACTAAAACAAGGCCGCACCAACATGCTTTTGTTGCCAAAATCGACACTGTAGCAGCCCAAAAACAAAAATAGTAGAAACAAAATGCGTGCCAAATGAGGCCTAAGCTTCACTGAAGTCATTGGAGGGTTGAAGGAAGCTGTGGAAGAAAATAAGCTGGAACTGGTCGCCGTACCGAATCAATAAAACACAAAAAACAAATGCCTTGAACTAGCCAGAACAGATCTGCAATCGGAATCTGGTCAACCGGAAACTAACTGACCGGAATTGAGAGCTTATCAGATTTGATCAATATTGGAATTGAGGCCAATGATTCTCACGAGAGAAGAAAAGAAGTTTGGAAAAAAAAAAAAAATTATCGAACCTCTAAATCTATCTAATCATATCGGGTTAGCACAATGGGTCGGGTCTGGTGGCTAGTGTTGGATCAACTGGACATGTACTTATTCTTCACAACCAAACATACCCTTTCTCCTTCAAAGCCTTATTTGACTTTTATAAACATACACTATATATATATCTCTCGACGGCAAAGATGGAGTGAGAAGCAGCGGCGATGACTGATGACGACGACGACGACTGAGAATGGTGGCAAGAACTGTGACGATAGAGAATGGCAGCGACGACGATGATTGACTGTGGTATGACTACGATAATGGCTATGGTGGTGACGAAGGCGACAATGGAAACGACGACGACCATACCAACAAACACAAATGCGATTACAACCTCGCACACTTGAGACTTCGATCACAGTTCGCTCTGATACCATATTGAGATTGGGGTTAGAATAGAAGAGGAGGCGGAGCCATTGTTGGGAATTGAGTCTCTATTTCTCATTTTGATGCTTTGTGTATGTGTACAAGTGTACAAGTAACGAAAGGACTAAAATACCCCTTTGGGGTAGGTAAATTACAAGAGTGCCCTAATTCAATTATTCTAACACACTTCAACCTAGCTTTCTTTCTAAAAGTTCTTAAAAATCCCCAAGAATATGACACACGTGTTGGACACGTATCCATGGCGATTGGTGTGTCTGTGCCATGTCCGCACTGTGTCCGAATATTCAAAAAAAATAAAAAAATCTAGACATGTTTTTTTGGCGTGTCTGACACGTGTCGGGTGTGTCAGTGTCTAACGCGTGTGGGGGGTGTCAGTGTCTAGCACGAATTCTTTGTCCTTTTAGGCGTGTCCGTGCTTCATATTTTACATCAATTGGATGTAGTAGTTGAAATTATTTATATATCTAGTTTGTCTTCTGTCTTATTTTAAGTACACATTTACTAATGTGACATTCACATTGGTTTTAACATTCGAGAGAACCTTTACTGACACAGATTTTTATTTTGGTCTCGGTATTTTTGAACAAATGTGATTTGAATCATACAGGTTTTACTGAAATTATGCAGGTTTTTCCATTGCTCATTGAGAAATTCTCATTTGAAGAGCAGGCATCATTGGTTTGGCAGTTTTTGTGCAGCATTCCTGTGAATATGATGGCTAAGTTCCTCCCCTGGCTTGCATCTTCTATTTCACCTGCTGATTATCAGGATATGCTGAAGTGCTTGCTTAAAATAGTTCCAAAAGAGAAGCTTCTTCAACAGGTGACGGTTCTTTCAGTGCATTAAATATATATATATATATTTTCCCCTTCCGAGTGCATTAACGGACTACTATTGTTGATTTAAGGTTATTTCCACCTGGATGAACGATAGAAACAGTACTAGTTCTGTTATAAGTTGTGAAGACAGTCCTCAAATTTGGTGTTCTACAGATTCTAATGCTAGTACATCAACATATGAAACAGAAGAAGTAAATTGTGCATGTGAGTCTTTGAAGACCGGGAAAAGGAAATACTTGGGGTTGAGGAGTGATGTTACTGATGCCACCGGGTTGCATCCAATAAATGAAATATTGCATTGGCATAATGCAATTAAAAGAGAGTTGAATGATATAGCGAAGGAGGCAAGGAAGATACAGCTTTCAGGAGATTTTTTCAATTTATCAGCATTCAATGTGAGGCTAGAATTTATAGCTGACGTTTGCATCTTTCACAGGTATGCTTTATTATTGTGCAGGTTATATAGCTCTTCTTTTCTATTTTTATTTGCTATTGGTTATTTTTATGAAAAGATACAAGTCCACTTTCATTTTTTTTTTTTACAAGTAAAAATTAATGAAATTCCTTCTATTTTAATACATGACTAGAGAGAGGAGACTTCATGTATTAACACCATATTGACTTTCATTTGAGGTAGGAGATCTGAGAAGGGGGCGGCCGCGGGGGGGGGGGGGGGGGGGGTGGGAATGTTAGAGAAATATAAATCAAAGAGCCTTTATCATGTATTTGGTCTCATTTAAGGAATGAGCATGTCTTTTCAAGGATCCAAGAGTTATTATTGTTAACCTTTCAACAGTTAATGTGCCTATGCTTCCTTAAAATTTGGACTTGCATATAAGTATTTGGTCTTATTGGCATCATGACCTCCTGAACGGTCCTGAGTTCACCATACTTTTTTTCACCATTGTTCCAAAGTTCTAATGATCATGTTGTTCTTCTTCATTATAAACTAATTCAATGAGCATTGTTTCTAAATCTGATGACAGTATCGCAGAGGACAAGGTCATATTCCCTGCAGTAGATGGAGAACTCTCTTTTTTCCAGGAGCATGCTGAAGAAGAAAGTCAATTTAATGAGTTCCGGAGTTTGATTGAAAGCATTCAAAGTGCAGGTGTGAATTCTAGTTCAACTGCTGAATTTTATGAAAAATTATGCTCGCATGCTGATCAAATAATGGAGACCACACAGAGACACTTCCACAATGAGGAAGTTCAGGTGAGCTTTTTCTTGAGTATGCAACAGCTATGTTTTGAGATGTTTTGTGTCTGGTTTCAAGTTATGAGCAGAAGCGTTTCCTGTATTCCTGCATGAATGAAATGGAAAATAAAGATTCTGTCGTAGTGAATGAGGATGAAAATTTATCGTTATGAAAAAGCTAACGTCTCTTGTAGGAAGTAGATAAATAAACAAATATCATCTGTATCTTTTCAATTAAATGTAGGATTAAAGATCTTATTGACTATATCCTCCGCAGTTCATTTTAATCAGCAATGCATGACTTAAAGCCTAGGTTATGGTATGTTACCTTCAATCCTTGAAATGAATCTGCTATGATTTCTGCACGTCTAGGTTCTTCCACTTGCGAGAAAGCATTTTAGCTTCAAAAGACAGCGGGAACTCTTGTACCAAAGCCTGTGCGTGATGCCACTGAAATTGATTGAACGTGTCTTGCCATGGCTGGTAGGATCATTAACCGAAGACGAAGCCAGAAATTTCCTTAATAATATGCATTTGGCAGGTTCTGTACGCATCTGTTATATTACCTTTTATAAATAATATTGATTTATTCATCAAAAAAATAAAATAATGATTGATTTGAAAACAGGAGTGGTTCTGTCTATTTCATTCTAAAATTCAACTGATATTGTTCTCTATCTATTTCATTTCTAATTGAGATTGTCTTGTGTTTCAGCTCCAGCAGCAGATAATGCTCTGGTAACTCTTTTTTCTGGTTGGGCTTGCAAAGGACGTACACAGGGTGTGTGTTTGTCTTCTGGAGCAATTGGTGGTTGTCCTGTCAAAAGGTTCACTGATATTGAAGAGGACTTTGTTCGACCATCTTGTCCATGTGAACTCTCAGTTCAGACAAAAGATGATAAAAGGCCAGTCAAACGAAATCTCTCTATGCCATGCCAAAACAGCCATGTATCTGATTCTTCCGTGACCATAAATGCCCAGAAAGTATCTTGTAAAGATCAGTCTTGTTGTGTCCCAGGTTTGGGTGTAAGCAGTAATAAATTGGGATTGAGTACTCTCTCCTCTGCAAAGTCTCTGCGGTCCTTGTCTTTTAACACTTCTGCTCCTTCTCTCAACTCCAGTCTTTTCATTTGGGAAACAGATAATAGTTCTTCTGATATGGGCTGTGCGGCGCGCCCAATTGATACTATATTCAAATTTCATAAAGCAATATGCAAGGACTTAGAATATTTAGATGTTGAATCTGGAAAGTTAAATGATCATGATGAAACATCCCTTCAACAGTTCATTGGTAGATTTCGTCTGCTGTGGGGTTTATATAAAGCTCACAGTAATGCTGAGGATGAAATAGTTTTTCCGGCATTGGAGTCCAAAGAGGCACTTCATAATGTGAGTCACTCATACACACTGGACCATAAGCAGGAGGAAAAATTATTTGAAGATATTTCATGTGTTCTTTCTGACCTTTCACGCCTTCATGAAGTTTTGAAGAGGACTCATATGACGGACGATTTATTTGGAAGTAACATTGAACTTTTTTCTGATCATAGTTGTGATGGAATGACAAAGTACAATGAGCTAGCTACAAAACTTCAAGGGATGTGCAGATCAATAAGAGTTACCCTGGATCAGCATATCTTCAGGGAAGAACGTGAGCTGTGGCCATTGTTTGGAAAACATTTTTCTGTAGAGGAGCAGGACAAAATTGTTGGCCGTATAATTGGGACTACAGGTGCTGAAGTGCTCCAATCAATGTTACCTTGGGTAACTTCTGCACTTACTCAGGACGAACAGAATAAAATGATGGACACGTGGAAGCAGGCAACCAAGAACACGCTATTCAATGAGTGGCTTGACGAATTCTGGAAAGGGACTCCTGAGTCATCTTTACAGACGGAACTATCAAAAAGTAAAAGTTCTGGAAAAGGTTTGTTCTATGCTTCTAGTTTTGCATGCGGAATAGAGTACTGCAGTTTTGCTGACTTTTATCTCAAAATCATACTCATTTTTCAAGTTGTTGTGATTATTTTAATGCATTACAAAATTATTTACTTCCAGGTGCTGATTCTCAAGAAAGCTTGGACCAAAGTGATCAGATGTTCAAGCCTGGCTGGAAAGACATTTTCCGTATGAATCAGAATGAACTTGAATCAGAGGTCAGAAAGCTCTACAGAGATTCAACTCTCGACCCAAGAAGAAGAGCATATCTTATTCAGAATCTTATGACGAGGTTTGTTCCAATGACAATTGTTGCTTCGACTTAGAAGAATGGTTTCTTTTCGTCATGATTATTAGTCCTATCTGTATATGGTTCCATTTTCTTAAAATAAGTTTGTTACCTGGCATATATTCATATTCCTTTACAAATAACTGATACATGGTTAGTTTAGTCGCTGGATAGCCGCTCAGCAGAAAACTCAAGCAATAGAAGGGGTGACTTCGAATGGTGAAGATATACCTGGATGCTCTCCGTCATTTAGAGACTCAGAAAAGCAAGTGTTTGGGTGTGAACACTACAAAAGAAATTGTAAACTCCGTGCTTCTTGCTGCGGCAAATTGTTTACATGCAGATTCTGCCATGACAAAGTGAGCGATCATTCAATGGATAGGTAATCTGTGATATCCTTGGCTAGATTTCAGTTTGGGTGTCTGTTTTCTATATGCTTTATTTGATCTTTGCAGGAAAGCAACTTCAGAGATGATGTGTATGCACTGCTTGAAAATTCAGGCAGTTGGGCCAGTTTGTACAACACCTTCATGCAATGGACTCCCAATGGCAAAATACTATTGTAGTATTTGCAAATTTTTTGATGATGAAAGGTAGGCATTTTAATATTACTGAAACGGTGAATTATATGTGCAAGTACAAATATATTTTAAATTTGGGTCTTCTCTTTCATATTTTAAAGTGTTTTTGATCACGGTCTGCTTCTCTAATATAGACGGTAACAGGATACTTGCCCGCCCTTTCCCCACGGCTTCCAAAATGGTGTTACTGGACAAAATTGTTAACATCAATTTGTTTTCTTGATCTTGATTGGACATAAACTCTCTGAACTTATTTCTGTAATTGAAAGGAAGAGCCTATACATACATATTTAATAATGTTTTCGTGTTAAATACAATTTTCTGTGATATATTGTGGTTTGACCGGAAATATTAGTTGGTACAAAGGTCATTGCAGCAAGTTTTACCTGCATTTTAGATTTGGATTGTTGATAATGGATTAAAATCAGTTATACTTTGTAGATTTGGATTGTTGTATTTTTAGTGTCAAGTTAGTTAAGTTAGTTGTGATTCCTTAGCAAGGGCAGATCAAGAATTTTACTAGTTCAAGGGCAAAATAGTAATCTTACAACTCAAATTGATATGCTCACTTATTTGAGTTTTACATATGAAATTAGGGTTTCATATTTTACTTATTTTATTTATCAAAATCCTAATTAATCAACATTAAAGGTGTTCCCGGGAGCAAATCAAAATCAGAATCCAAAACTAACTAAGACAGCAGACTTATCAAAAAAACGAAAAAAAAAAAGGGAAAAGGAAAAAACTAGGACAGCAGATTTCAATCGATTGAGGGATCCATCGAATGCTACTGGCCTTGTATTGGTAAGGCTGTAATTGGACTGAGCCGAGCTGAGTAATAGAATGTTCGAGCTCGGTTCATCAAGATGTGAGGAGTGTTGGAACTTGGAGCGAGCTCTCCATGACCAAGTTCGAGCTAGGTTCGCAATTCTCGTCACAAGCTCGAGCTTGGCTTGAAGCTAGTTTACAGAAACACATTCTTGCACAACTATAATTATATATATATATATATATATATATATATATATATATATATGTATGTATATAGGATATATTATAGAGATCTCAGAGCTTGACCAGAAGAAAGGTGTGTGGAGGGTTTGGGCAAAGAGGAGAGAGGTAGGAGGGAGATTTGTAGGCGGGTATTGGAGAGATTGCATCTATGGAGGAGACTTCATGGAGACAGAAGTCTAGGGCTTTATGGCTTATGGATAGGAACACGAGATTCTTTCAATGTGCGCATTGTTGAAGTAACCACATTAGGTAGATCAAGGTCAATGGCTTGATATTGAGCAAGGAGGAGGATGTGGACTGAGGAGTGATATTAGCAGCTTTACATAGAGACCTCTCACTCTAGACCTGTTTTATAGGGGTTGGAGTTTGATTCTATTTCCTTGGAGAGGCCCTTTGAGGAGGAGGAGGTGGTCTTGGCTTTGCGGAGTTTTAGTGGAGATAAAAACCCCAAAGATCGGATGGGTTCTCTATAGGTTTCCATCAGCATTAGGAGGTGGTGAAGAAGATCTTGGAGGTGATTAACTTCTTTTACCAACATGGGTAGTTTGAGAAATCTATGAATGCTTCCTTCATTGTGCTTGTTCCAAAGAAGGGTGGAGCTATTGACGTTAGGGGCTTAAGGCCTATTAGCTTGGTTGGTAGCATGTACAAGCTTATATAGCAAAAGTCCTAGCGGCTAGATTGAACACAATGCTTGATGGTGTTATCTCAGAGTCCTGTAATACATTTGTGGGGCTTCGCCAGATTCTGATTTCTGTTTTGGTGGCTAGTGTGTGTGTGGATGCTAGGGTCAACAATGGAGAGCTGGGGTGGTGTGTAAACTTGCTGTGGAGAAAGTTTATGACCATGTGAGCTGGGACTACCTGATTTATGTTTTGGGGAGGATGGGATTTGGGGAGAGGTGGAGAGGATGGATTCGGTTCTGTATCTCCATGGTGAAATTCTCAGTTTTAGTAAGCAGAGTTCCTTCTGGTTGCTTTGGCAGTTCGAGAGGTCTTAGGAAAAGGGATCCCCTATCTATGTTTCCCTTTATCTTTGTGATGGAGGCCTTTAGTAGATTGATGAGTACAGCTGAGAAGTTGGGCTATTTCAGAGGCTTCAGGGTGTGCAGGGATCTCTTTTACCAGATGGAGGGTACTTATTTGCTATTTGCAGACAACACTATTGTTTTTAGTGATGTGGTGGAGAGTTGGACAATGTATTTGAGAGCGGTTTTGGTGTGTTTCCAAGCGAGATTGTGTTGGTGGGGGAGGTGGAGGAGATTGCTCATTTGGCTAGCATTCTAGGCTGTAGTGTTGGATCATTTCGTTGGTCTACTTGGGCTTGCCATTGGGAGTTTAGTCAAGGAGAGCTTCGTCGTGGGCTCCAGTGGTTCATCGTTTTGAGAGGTGGCTCGCTGGCTGGAAGCAGCAGTACTTGTTGAAAGGGGATGTCTTACCCTGTTGAAGAGCAACCTTTTGAGTCTCCCTACCTACTTTATGTCAACCATTCCTATTCTGTCTACGTTAGTGAGGAGGCTGAGATGGGAGCAGATCTGCAGGCATATGCGAGTTGGTGGGTTGGGGGGTGAAGATGTTAAGACTTGTTCAACAAAGCTTTGTTGGACAAGTGGTTGTGGAGGTTTGGGGTTGAGAGGCACAGGTTATGGAGGAGACTCGTTTGCCGTAGAGGCTGTTGGTGCTCTATGGTGGTGCGTTCCCCAGCAGGGATGGGCTTGTGGAAGAACATCCGGAATGGGCGGATGAATTCTCCAAGCATATTCATTTCAAGGTGAGGGATTGGCATTTCATTAGCTTTGGGAGGATCTTTGGTGTGGCGAGAGGCTGTTGGAATATGTGGGAATATTCTTATAATAAGCATAATTAGTGGGCGTAATGAGTGGGGTTTTACCACGTGGGTATTATTGTAAATTATAATCCTGACTAATATAAATACATGGGCATAGAGATGTCAATGGCATGCTATAACCTTTCGTTACATTCTCTGTTCTCCTATTTTCTTCTTTTCTCCTCAAACCCTAATAATCCAAACCATAAAAATATAATTCCAACTTGATATCAGAGCGACGTTTCAACATCGAAAAGGACAACACAACATTTGAAAGAGTCAGAAAAGGTCTAGAGGTGTGCTGATGTCGGCGTCAGTATGCTTGCAACAACATGTTAGGGTTCAAAATCCATACCATCTAGATTGCCTCTTCCTACTGAAGATTATGTGTTTTTTTTCAGAATTTTTTGAAGCCATCTTATAGGTTTTGCTATTTTTGAAACTATTTTCTGGCGAAGGGGCTGTTTGGTATGATCTTTTTGCTGGGCCTTTTTTGGTTGGTGTTTTTTTTTGGCTTCAATCCACCACAGAAGGATGCCCCTAGGCTGTATACAGGATTGTGCTGAGTTTGGTTCCATGATTTGAAGGTTTGAATGGTTTTTTTCTTCATTTGTCTTGTGGTTCTCTTGAAAAACATTGTAGGTCTGTTTTTACTGCAAGATGTTTGATATCCAGGTTCTGTTAGGTTGTTTTTTGATATGTTATGGCATGCAACTCAAGTCTGGTAGTTGTGTGATTGTCCTGTTGCTTGCTTGGTGAGTTCATTCTTCAGATTTCTTGGTCTGTTTTTTTTATGTATTGTATGTATTATTGAGATAAGATGTTGGACATCGGTGGAAGCTCTACAAGTACTAAGATAGGTGGATTAGGCCATGTGTCAGCCCTTGTTGATAACCCACCACTCCAGAGGTTAATTGGATCATCGACAGAAGATATAATTTCAACTGAAGTGACAAATATTAGTCCTGTAAAATTGTCTTGGTCATGCCTTTTGAAGTAACAAAAATTGTCTCGGTCATGCCTTTTACCAAAGAATCATTCTCAGCTTTGGAGAGAATTACCTGTTCATTTGCAGGAGTGGTAGTAGTCTCCTCCTGAATGGAAGCCTGTTTAGCCCAAGCTGGCTTGCCATGAAGTGCCCAACCCGGTCACAATGCGTACACTTCTTGCTTCCGCGATCCCCTCTTCTGCCACGAGTACCGCGGCTTGGGTTAGAAGGACCTCTGCCCCCTCGTCCTCCACGGGAAGTATGATGTCATTCAGTAGGAACAACAAGAGCAGAGTGTTTTTTCTCTCTCAATCACAATGGCATGAATTGGATGCTCTTTGAACTCGAGCGAAAGTGTCTCTGGTTGTGGGTATCTCATTGCCAGACAAAGTCTGTAAACTGATTGGAGCAAGTTGCGGTTTAAGTCCAGATAAAAATTTCACCACCCGAAACTCCTCCCTGTGCTGTTTTTGTTGTTCTATGTCTTTACGTAATGGTTCGTAGACATTCAATTCTTCCCACATACCCTTTAGTTTTGAGTGATAATCTTCAACAAAACGATCTACTTGGTGAAATTAAATATGTCTTGGTTCAACTGATAAATATGAGAAATATTCTTCTCCAAAGAATACCTATCTTTGAGATTTTCTTAGATATCTTTGGAAAATTCTACGAATGACAAGTTGTTGAAGATCTCAGGTTCCAAGCTATTCTATAAACAAGTCATAATCTTAGCATCTTCTTTCTCCCAAGCCTCTTATTATCTTTTCATTGGTGGTGGGTTTGGTTTATCGAACATAGGGCAGTTTAACTTGAGCTCGTAAGAATACCTCTATGGTTTGAGCCCATTGAAGGTAGTTTGAGCCTTTCAGTTTGGTGCTGGTGATTGACCCAAGAAGATGAGGGTCCTTGGTATCCATAGGGGGGTTGCCGAACAAGAGAGAGATAGGAGCGAGCGGGAGCCGAGATGAGAGAACAAAGATCAAGCCGAGGGGAGAGCCGAGAGAGGTTGCCGAGAGTCCGAGACGAGGACCGAGATCACCGAGGAGAGATCTCCGAGAAGAGATTGCTGAATAAGACTATAAGCAAAAAATACATATTTAAAGAGGGATCGATTTCCTCTTTGATACCATGTTGAGACAGAGAGAATATTTGAAAATGTATATATTATTGAGTTAATAATACAATAATACAATAATTCAATGGAGTTTATATAGGAGAAGTTACAGGAGTAGGTGAGCGGAGAACAAGTAAACCCTATACATGGCAATGCTATGCATGGTAATGAGGGGTAGGTGAAGGTGGCTACAAAATACATAAAACTTTAGTAAACCCCAGTAAACCATGTAATCTTACTTTACACGTGTGACAACTCATACTGTATTGTACAACATTATTATTATCATTATTTTCACCTGGTTTGTGGTATATTCAATGAATGATTTAGCTCACACATATATGCACATGTCTATGTAAACTTAAACTTGAATAAAGATCAACTCATTGAGATAGAAGTGTTTTGATGTGTGTTGAGTTGAAAAGAAATATAAAAAAACATGTGTAATATGGAGCAGCCACAATGAAAAGGAAAGAATATATTGTTCATGCCGGCATGCCCTGTTTAGTTTTTTCACGTAAAAATCTTTGTGTCCATTGTTTTATTGCTTAATCTATTTATTGCATGCATGGAGGATGGATTGAGTGATTTTTTAGTTTTCTGTTATGGATTGACTTTAAATTTCTGAAACTACCTACATATTGTCTTGATCATGGGCCTTGCCCGACTCTCTATTTGAGCATCGGGTTTTGGTCTGACGAACTTTCAGGTTGTAAAAGACAAATTGAATTTTTTATTCTTTTTATTTATTTATTTTTTTTTCAGATAGAGAATAAAATGAAAAATTTCATGACATTTTTGTTACTTATCAGCAAAATGGTGTATTGTTTTTCACTTGTCAAATATTTCTATCAGTTTTTGTTTTAACAAATTTTCAACCTTCAGATTGTCCTCCTTTATATTGGTGTGCAGTATAATATTTATTTATTCAATTAGAGAAAGATGTTAACAAGGATTGAGGCTCAAGCAATGATCAACAGAAGTGCACACCCTTAACACTGAGTATGAGAACTGATGACTGCATGTTGCCCATTTTTTTTTTTTTTGGTGTCACCTTTTGTTTTTGGTGTCACCTTGAAGTATATATTATTTGACTTTTTCAATTTTAATTATTGGAAGATTGTACTTTTTTTTCTTAGTAAATTTCACAGTAGAACTTCACAGTAGAACCAGCACTCCTTGGGTTTTAGTTTTGGTTGACTGGGATTAGTCCAACAACAAAAAGAAAAGAAAAGATCATCTTCATTTGGTCTAAGGTGATACTGAATGTGACTGTTTTAACTTTATTTTCTTCGTTTTATCATCTCATCTACCCTTGTACATGTTGCTTTCATTACAATTTTCTTGATGCATTCACACGAGTCTCAATTTGCTAGTTGCTTGACAAAGGTCAAATTATGAGTGTGGTTTAAGAAGCCTTCTCAGTCAAATTTAAATTTATAAAACCACCACTACTACTACTACTAATGTAGCATAGCGAGTAGGGATCGTCCCAAGAGATTGTAAGGATATTCGGAATAAAAGTCGGATTAGTAGGTCAATTGATCAAAAGATTGGTTTGGTTTGGTTTGGTTTAATTAAACTATAATTAGCTAAATTAAACAATGCAATAGCAAACAATCTAAATAGAGTAGGGTGTAGAGAACAGGAGAGAGGTCTTAGGGCATAGGAATCACCACTAAGCTCTTTCTCTAAACTTCTAGCCTTTAATAAATTGGGGGGAATTCAATGTTGTAACCAAGGTGTGTGCGCGCCTACAATTGAAACAATAAGCATGGGTGACATTAACAAGCATGAATTGTCTACTTAAGCTAGAGTGTAGTACAAATCATCAAATTAAAACACTAACCATTCAATAAACCCACAATTGTAGCACACTTTAATCTAGAGAAATATACATCTTGCAACCAAAAAGCATGGATTATCAAACACAAGCATGGATTGTCTACTTAATCTAGGAATTGAAATGCAATTACACTACAATTACACTAAGACAAGGAAATTAAACTAATTAACTAGGGGTGTAGAACAATCCATCAAGCATGAGCATAGTCCATCAAATCAATTCACAAGAGTATCCATTAAGAATAATCCTGCATAACCATTCACTAGATTCTCAATTTAACCACACATAGACATGCATCAAATCTAGAGAAACTAGTGTAGAGACATAATTCCCAATTTAATCACACATAGACATGTAAATAAATTAGAGAATTAATTGGAAGAATTGATCCATACAAATCATAGATAAAGTCAAGATTTATATATTCAAATGGTTAAAACATTTATTACAACATAGAATCCCCAAAAATGTAAAAGGTCTACGGTTTAGAGGACTAGCCTAGGGCTTTTCCAAGCCCTAAGAGGAGGATTTAGCCACTCATGGATGGTGTCTTGCAACCCTCAAGGGCTATCTTAATGGTTGAATTCATCTTCTTCCTCTTTTCTTGCTCAAGAACCCTAATCTCTAGAGAGAGAAACTATGCCTAGCTATGTAAAAAATGTGACTAAGTTGTCTAACAAAAAGTGGAACAAAAGTCGTCAAAAGTTTGAACAACTATTGTCAAAATTTGGAACAACAATTGTCAAAAGTTGGAACCATATATAATTGGTTCAATTTTGATTTATATACAAGCCCCTTTGTGTAGGCAACAAGTCAGAAAATGGCCTTCTAATTGGTGCAATCTCGCAGCCCCTTGGTAGGTGGAATTCGGGTGCGCTCGGGAATTAAATAGCTCACTGCCAGCAGGATTTCGATCGATCGCCGGGGTCTTCGATGGATCACCAATGGCTTCGATCGATCAAAGATGACGCGGCATGCTTATCTTGACAATTGGCAACCTTATCTGCTTAGCTGGCGCAGATGTGGCACTGCGAACGATCGCCAAAAGCTTCGATCGATCGCCACTTGGAACGAATGATGAGGTGGCAATCTTATCCCTTTGCTGACGTGGCTTCGATGGATCGCCAACCTTCGATCGATCGTGGATGAATCTTCGATCGATCGCTAATGCTTTAGGGCAAATTTTCATACTTTTTCTAGAATTTCTTATTGACTCCAAAAAGGGCTTAATAGGTTGTTTTTAGCCCATTTGAACCTTATTGACATGAAATAGACAAAGACAAGAATTAGAACTGAAACGGGAAAACGGAAAAGTAAGATAGATGAATGGACTAAAATACCCTAGCTTAGGTGCTAAAATGTGCAACATTTGAGCACTTATCATGCATCCTGGTCTTATTATGACTTTTTTCCTTTTTGCTAACCTAAATATACCTTTTTTTCTTACTACAGGACAGTGTATCATTGTCCATTTTGCAACTTATGCCGTCTTGGAAAGGGTCTTGGAATTGATTATTTCCATTGTATGAAATGCAATTGTTGCATGGGGATGAAGTTAAAGGACCACAAGTGCCTGGAGAAAAGTTTAGAAACAAACTGCCCTATCTGCTGTGATTTCTTATTCACATCAAGTGAAGTGGTCAGAGGTCTACCTTGTGGCCATTACATGCATTCAGCTTGCTTTCAGGTCTCATTTTTATCAATTTTTTGTTTTATTTTTACTTTTTTTTCTTCTTACATTTTTCCTTTTTGATTAAGAGAAGGAATTTCAGAAGTGCTTCAAGTCAATCTTACAACTCATTTTGTATTGCTAGGCATATGCTTGCACTCACTACATCTGTCCAATATGTAGCAAGTCCATGGGAGATATGTCGGTGAGGAAAATTTTATTTTATTTTATTTAGTTTATTTTAATGATTATCTATCTGGCGCTTAACCAAAAAATATTTTCTGTTGAGATATATATGCTGTTGATTACTTGTTGAAAATATGCTTTTTAGATGTTTAATATCTTCTGAAAGAAAAACAAGGAGCTTTCTACTTTCTAGTGCTAGACATTAGTTCCCCTCCCTTAAACCATAAAAAAGCTGATGGAGAAGGAAATGTTTTTGCTTCAACCATACTATTTTTACATGTTCTGAGGATTGTGTTGTTTTTAGAGTGGGCCTTGGCTTAACAGTAAGGTTGCTCCATTGTGACCGGAAACAAACTCTTCATGAGAAGGTAAGACTGCGTAGATTTGACCTTCCCCAGACCCCACAATGACTGGAGCCTTGTGCTTTGGGCTAGCCCTAGTATTGTGCTGTTCATTAATTGTGCACAGGTGATGTTCACAGTTGATGGCAACCCTTACAAATTGGGCTAAAGGCAAGTTTAAGATAATGGTTTTGTTCTGGCTTAAAATGCCTTCCATCAGTTGTCCTTCTACTCAAAGAGTATCCGTTAAAGGTTGGTTTCTACACATAATCAGTCAGCCATGGCTAACAACCTTGCATTTTGTGGGGTTCTATCTACAATTATTTGGTGTATAAGCACACAATTAAAAGAATCATAGCAACTCTGATTTCTTTCAAGTGGATGCCGCTGATAGAGACCATGGAAATTATATTCTCCATTGTAGCACACACCACCTCATATTTACCTTGAAATTTTCTCCATCTTTTTCCACTAATGTTTACTAGAGGGGAGTAGGCAGCTTACCTACTATGTCTTTTGTATGCTATTTGTTGTCAGGGGCTTATTTGTTATTACTTGTATAATGTTTGGTGCTTATGTGTAATTTATGAAACTTGTTAGTATAAATAGAATGTGGTGGAAGGATGAAAGTATTCTTTCATTCTCTCTCTTTGCCCATCTCTCTTTTTTTTCTCCTCTCATCTTCTTTTTTTCTTCATCTTCTTATACTTTACTCTTGATTTTATTATCTCTTAAAGTCAACATGGTATCAGAGCATGGTTTGTAAAGCTCTAGGTGGGTAGTTGAAACGCTAGGGAAAGTTTGTGTAAACCCTAGTGGGTGTTAAGGGTTTTGAAGAGATTTCAAGATGGGATTTGTGTGGACCTGTTTTTGATCAATTGCAGTCTCGGTCGGTGTGTTTTTTAATGTTTGCATAGTGATGCAGGAGCGGGTAGGGCTATTCGCAACCAGCATTAAAGTAGAATAAGAATGAGATTGAGAGAGAAATTGAATAAGAATAGAGGGAAAGAAATTAGGGGAGAAGAAGAAATCAGAGGGAGAAGAAATCACATACCAATTGATGCAGGAGCGGGTAGGGCTATTTGAAACCAGAATTAAAGTAGAATAAGAATGAGATTGAGAGAGAAATTGAATAAGAATAGAGGGAAAGAAATCAGGGGAGAAGAACAAATCAGAGGGAGAAGAAATCACGATAATCTCAAAATTCAATATCAATAATAATCATCAAAAGTTGCCCTTCACAATGTCTAAACCAACATATAAACAGGCATCGAAGAAAAACCCTAATCAACCTATTACCATAAATAAAATCCTAAATTGCTGAAATATCCCATAATAATAATAAATAAACAAAAATCTCTAATTCTATCTTTCTTTCCCACATCTCCAATAGTAGGTGTGGGCCATGTGGTCTTCAAGCTCTCGGGTCAGGCCCGATTCTCCATCATTCGCTCCTGGTTGAGAAGAACTCTCCTCTGGAGAGTAAATGCAAATGTATATCTTCAAAAAGTAAGAGTCAATATAATAAAGTTGTTTTGCTACAATCCATGTAAAAACTGAAGCTGAAAGGTAATCATGGACATCCCAAATACGATTAATCCAATCCATATACTGCAGTTGAGAAGACGGAAGTGCCGGTGCTGATGCTGAGAAGGATGGAATGATGCCTGTAGGAACACATGCCAACAAACTAGGAGGCTCAAAGGTGCCTCGGTTAGGTAACAGATACTCCACATCAAAAATTGAACTAGTACTCGTATCCATAGACTAGTCAAAGAAATATGCATTAAGTCCTGATTTTTGAATGATATGGAAAAGTCTATCAATTTTGGCATGTTTCACCTGGAAGGAGTTTTTATAACAAGGTTGAGGTAGTGCACAAATTATAGCATAATCTCCTTCATTAAATTCATGATTCCTATGATGAGCATATGCAATGAGTTCATAATTCTTTTTACTTAAGACAATTTCGTGTCGCATATCGGCATAAAAATCATGAACAAGCTGAACGAAGGAATCCACAAACTCAAGTGAATACATACATGGAGGTGGATGACAATAATCAATGGATTGGCATGGTAAAGAACTGTAGATGATCTCCAAAGAACAACTACCAGTACTTTGATTAGTAACACTTGTATAAACATAATCCATGATAGGTAACAACAAGTCCCAAGTGTCTAGGTGCATGCTAATAATAAAACTAACCATCTTTCCTAGACCTTGATTCACAACCTCAATTTTTGTATCATTCAAAGGACAAGATGCAAAAGGAAACATCAAATTTGTTCCTAAGAATGTCCAAAGTGTCTTCCAGAAATTACTATTGTACTTGACATCCTTGTTTGACACAATGGAGGTGGATGACTCATGAAATTTAATCACTTCGAGACAATCTTGAGTGACCTTATTTTGTGCAAATTCATCATTTGGTTGACTCAGTTCAACATGTTCCCAAGGATGCGGAGATTATGTGCGACAATAGACGAATGCGTTCCTGGGGCTAAGGCAATAGTGTTTTGCAGGATACTCGTGTGGCAATTTAGTTGGGTGTTCCTCAATTACCTCATTTTCTTCTTTTGCCAACACTGGAGAGATGTGACTATATTCAAAATTCTCTTTTTCAGATTCATTTTGACAAACATAACCGTCTATCTCAGCAAAATCAATTGACAAGAGGGCCATGAACTGTAGAGCTTTTGAAAGACAAGACTTAAGAATTGTAGCACAATTGTTCAAAACTTTTTCTCCTAACTTGTAAGATTCAGGTGAAATAGTCTGATTTTCCTTTCTAACACTAGCTAGAAGAGGACGAAGTAGCTCTACTGAGATATGGTCGCTTTCCTCCAATACAAGAGTCATAATTTGCTCCATATATCTGAAGATATTGTCCAAATGATGATCCTTTATTTCCTTTAAAAAGTACCAAAACATCTGAACAATTGACTCTTCACATTCCAAATCTAACATTATCAAACATGACTTTACACTTGCAAATGTGTTGAGGATTTTGACCCTTTTACCATAAGATGGACTAGATGTATCAGATAGATTTTCAAAAGATGATACAATCACGTGAAATACTTCTACCATTTGATCATCATTATAGGGAAAATCTGGTGCTGTAATCCTTGTTAACTCACTAAGGCATGAGGCTACTGCAACTCTAACATCACAATCTGAATGCTTTAAAAACTCTTTAGTAATTAAAATCTTCATTATTGGAGAGAGTGCAGCTTGCATTGAAGCACATGGGTCCTGGTTGACTTTGCAAAGCAAGTGATCAGTTTTGGTAAGCAACCAAAGGAGCTCATTGATTGAGGATGGAGGTTGGAAAAAGCATATTTCTAATTTTCAAAAGTTGTTCCAAATTTATTTTCAATGTTATTTTTGTTTCCCTTTCATGTTCACACCAAACATTTTTATTTTCGTGTGATAGAAAGCTTGGCCTACGCTCAACGCTCTTAGTCTTGATTGGCAAACACAACCATTGGGGACATAACACGACGTTCTCTTTTAACATCGTTATGCCTTAATAGAATGGTGCAAACATAAGAAGTTTTGAGAATAATGCCGAAATAGGACTCAAATTGAATTAAGTAAACTAAATTATAAACTAGAACAATGCACACAACTAAGAAATCTGAATGCAAATGAAATTAATTATGCTAGAAGTCATGCACTGGTGTGGGTATTTAGGTGTAAAAATAAAGTGGAAACAATGAAAAGAAATTTTTTATTTATTTATTTTTAAATATGCGACTGAGGCAATTCAAGGGGTCAAAATTTAGATGGGTTCAGTTAGGACCTTTTTGCAAATTTCTATACTAATGGAATGGATAAAAGTACCAATAACAATTCTTAATTGAAGTATATGTACCTTTTCCGAAGTCCAATGTAGATCCCAATTGAATGCTCCAAGTGTTGAAGATTATCCCAAAATAGCTGATACTTTGGGAGTGCCAATGTTACTTTTTTTGATTCACCTGCTTTCTTTTCATCATCTGGTGAGCGTTTGTTACTAGATCTTATATCTGCTCGTGAGGGGGAGCCTTATCTTCTCCTATTCTTCCAATGCCATTGGATCCACCTTCTAATCCTCCTTTGCATGTTTATCAGCGATCTCGATCTCATCCCATTGTCTCTTATAGTCCGGACACATCTTCTCAACCAGAGGCTCGTATTCCTCCATCTTCCACTTCTGCTACTGATGATTTACCACTTGCGTCATCTTCTCAACCAGAGGTTCTTGTTCCTCCATCTTCCACTTCTGCTATAGATGATTTACCACTTGCGCTTTGTCGAGGTAAACGTACTTGTACTAAACATCCCATTGCTAATTTTGTGTCGTATGATCGTGTTTCCTCCTCCTTGTACTCTTTTGCTTTTACCTTGTCTGGCTCTAATACCATGTTTGCATTCAAACCTCTAATTGAGATAATATTTTCTTACTCTTTTCTAAATAGAATTACAACATATAAATACATAATTTTACGTCTAAGAATAGCCTAGGACAATAGTACATACAATCTCCTAATCATGACAAAAAAAAGTCAACTAAACTAATATGGAAAAAAATCTTAGACAATCAATTTTACTACTGTACATTTTTGCCAGCCTATACAGGCTGGAGATCTTCCAGAATTTGTCGTCATAAAAGCTGGCAGATTTTCCAACA